TTTTCTCAAATGTTTACAACATTTTGGAAACATATTAAGGGTGACCGACGGAAAAAACAACACTATAGGTTTGGGCTATGTAATCTGTGACGATGTTTTAGTCATCTTGTTTAAACTCTACTCCTGAGGTTTATGTATGGGACGGTCATATGTTTCCGCTACAGACCGTGTGACAACCGTGTGAATTTTAAACATTGTTTTTTCTTATACATTTCCGTAAATTGTTTGGATTATTTAGGGCTATGACGATAATTTATAAATTTCTTTAAAACATGCTCTGCGAGATGAAACTGTGTAGTTAACACACAAAACCCTTCAAGGTTAAATTAGAAATACCTCCTTCCATTGCGAAGTTTGAATAAGCGGATAACCAGAAGGTTAAATACTAGACATGATCTCTCTATCTGGTTACCGTGGTCGTGGGGCGAATTGGATAAAAATAAAGAGACGGGTTAGATAACAGTGGAATGAAACTGATGATATTATTGTGAGACAATGCAAATTATATAACCTTAATACTCTGAAAACTAACTCACAGCAATTTATTACCCCAGAGACCAAAACCCTAAAGGAAATCATATTTGCACCGGCAGCAACAAGAGGCCCGCGAAACCGTTTGGTGCAGCTACTTCCTGTTTTCCTAGAACCAGATGGACAGCCGGTGCTACTGAGAGTGCCCTGTTCACAAGTCACATCACCTTTCAGTGAATCTATAGAGAAACCAAGCTTGCGCTTTGCTCCACTTTCTCCTAAAGCATATGAAAGTCTTACTGATTGAAAGAAAAACTGTTAAAGGAGGAAAATGTTACACAACATTACTGGGTGGTACAGCTCTTCCGTACTGCCACTGGCTCATCTGAGGGGTATTGGGTCTTGTTGAGGGCAAGCGGCATGCAGTAATCGCCATGAAAATGCTCAGCAGCCCATTGGCTTTTTACTTGACCTCAGCATCAACACCATGCACAGCGTTTTTTCCCTTAATGGATGTATGTAGGTGTGTGTGAGCGAGTGAGGAAACAAGCGAGAGAGAGAGAGAGAGTGCAGGAAAGGATAAGAGGCTACTCTGGCATATGATTTCCAGTTAAACACATTGGATAGCACAGCAAAAACTGTTTTTTTGGCTGCTTTGTGACAAGTTTCGCTGATGGGAAACACTTTTAGAACTGAATTGCTGGCTGGGACACAACAGTTTACATCTCCACAAACTGTTTCTGGTCTCTCTGGTTCTGCAAGCCAAACCTTTTGCTTATTTTCATGAACTAAGTGTTGTGAGAATGAAAAGTATCGCACAGCCGGGCACGAGGACATTGGGGCACCTTCAAGCTGCATGAATACCAGCATGTTGGGATATTGTCACATGGCCAAAATGCAGAAAATATTCTGAACGGAAAGTCCCCTTTGTTAAACTAAACTAGGCATTGTCACCACTAAGTACTAAAGAATTACTGACATCTTATCTCAGACTCTATAATACTGTAGAAGATGATGACAGCCTTTACTTGTATAGCTATCGCTGATAGGCGGGTCAAAGTCCAGGCCGTTCTTATGAGAATGAGCTTTCTGTGGCCATGAGCAGCCAGAGGCAAGGAATAGGAAGCTATTAGCTCTGTCTGCTGAAAAGTGCTTCCCGTCGTATGGTAGACAGCAAATGGCGACACGAGATGTCGCGAAGACCAATCGAACAGCAGCAATCTGCGCCGTCCAATGGTGGTGGTGAAGTGCTGAGTGTAGACCATCGATACAGTGGTTGGTGGGTGGAGCCAAAGCATAACAGCCTTCTCAGTTTCTGTAAGGGAAGAATTATAGGTACAACATTTATTAATCAGGGAACAACACAGGGATGCTGCTTCTCCTGAGTAGGCGAGAATAAAACCAGAGCTTTAACAGCCAATATGTTACCATCATTGAGCAGAAAGCACAGTAATGAAGCCACTTCAACTGCAATTGTGTGAGGGTGGCTTTAGGGTAGGAGATATTTGGAGGAGATGCTGAACATTGCCCCCTATAGTTTTGATCCATCTGATACCTTGGTACTGAATTCCCTTAAACTGTTCTCTCTGTAAGAAAACAAAGCTGAGGGTCGTTCCACGATCCTCCCGGTTCTGCAGCACCATCTAATTAAATATGAAGGTGCCGAAAGTGGCTTGTGTCACTGGTGATTACGGCTCTTGCTGTGACAGACGCCACCTCAGGCTCCCTTATGTCTGCAAAGGAGTGTTTTTCAGCTGCATGTGTAGAGCCCGGTTCTGAAGCCCCCCCCCCCCCCCCCCCCCCCCCCCCCCCCC